TGAGGGAAGTTGCGTCTCGTCCCTGGTACCAGTGGCAATCTCTCCAAAAGGCCCAGCGCGGCGTGTGCCCTAGTGAGCGTTGGGGGCAAGGTGGCTGGAGAATAATGTCTTTATTCGGCTGGAAACGTTTATACGTCTTCTCGAGCAGTGAACTACTGCAACGTCCTTCTGGCTGATGATGAATGTCTTAGAGTGGTTGGTCTTCAGCTTTGACTGTAAACTAATTCAGCTTCTTGTTTAAAAATAACTGGAGGATGAAACGCTGGCCTGGAGAATTCTCCAAGAAAGTCCAAGAATTTGATTAAATTCACTTTCTGTGAAAAGGCGACAATACTTGACGATAAGACTACAAAAATATAAAAGAAGAAATTCGTTTGTGTCTTGAGCTTTCAAAATAAAAGTACTTGAAAAGTACTTCAGCACGGCAAGTTATTACTTGAGGAAAAATTAACCCGTGTCGCAAACGAAGTAAAATAAAGTACGGAAATTAAAGAAAAAGCGAGAATAAATAACTAGTTGATACAAGAGAGAGAAGAAAAGCGAGTGTGAAGAGAAGAGTGAAGAGTGACCGGAGTCTATCTCTTATAGCTTTTATTCTTGAGGCGGAACTGGACGAGAGGAGCTGACCGCGCGCGTCACTTCCTCTGATGATAATTTGATATACGTAACTTTATCAACTTACTCCTATCGTGTTTTAAAGTTTCGAGATCATAATTCACTGTTCACAGAACCCACCATAACTTAATACATAGTTCACATGTTTTAACATAACATAACCGAAATTACTTAATGTAAAAGAAAAGTGGAACTGATTAAAGTCATTAAATCATTAATCATTAAACACGCACATAAAACAGCACTGATGGACTGTACATATTTCGTATAGTGCTAGCTTAATCCTTGTTATAACAAATATGTGTCAGGCATTTACTTATTGTATTACTATACAGTTATCAAACAAAGTTCGTTTTGAAAGTACCTTACGCTATACCAGAACCTTACCAAAAGGTGGCGCTGTGGCTCCATCAAACATTCAGACATTTTACACATGATTTTGTAACTTAGTCCAATCTGATGACAGAAACATCAGACAAACATTACATTTGCGTCCTTCTCATGCTGGATGGCAATCTGTTAATTAGGAGGAGATGAAATTTTACCATAATACTCCAACAGAACTAAATCTATATCTGTGCAACTGCTGTTACTGCTTCCTAGATTGGAATGTCCACTATCAACAGAAAACATCGTAATTTACACTTTAGAGGAAGGGGTGTCAGAATGCCAGATGTGGATTCCAGAGGAGTTTCTCTCTGGAGGTGGACCTGTCAGACTAAAAGAGATGTAAACACATTTCAGGGATATCTAACCCTGATTTACAATCAAAAAGGCATTTATGTTATCACACACGATCCACTTTAGGTGTAGGGTGTCGTTCTGATCTGTGGAGAAGTCAGTGTTCTGTTAAAGAGGATAAAACATATTGACACCTTAGAGATCCCATCTGAGAATCTGAAAAGAACCAGGCTCTCTGTGCAGGAGACTGTCGGCGCCACAGTCTCACCTCCCCTCCTGGGTCAAAAAGGTCAAAGGGAAAGAGGAGGCCTTGAAAACTCTCCTGGTGGAACAAAACAAAATAATATGATGATTGTTGAATTAAGAGACAGATAAAGCGTCTCTTGTAGAGGAAGACGAGGACAAGGTCCTACAGCTGTCTGAGTGTTACACGCCTCCTGATTGGATGGCTGAGTGTTACACGCCCCCTGATTGGCTTCTGGTGTCCCCCTGATTGGCTAAGTGTTACACGCCTCCTGATTGGCTGGCTGAGTGTGACACACCTCCTTATTGGCTGGCTGAGTGTTACACGCCTCCTGATTGGCTTCCTGAGTGTTACATGCCTCCTGATTGGTTGGCTGAGTGTTAAACGTCTCCTGATTGGCTGGCTGAATGTCAAAGGCCTCCTGATTGGCTGCCTGAGTGTTACACGACTCCTGATTGGCTGGCTGAGTGTTACACGCCTCCTGATTGGCTGGTCTAGTGTTACACACCTCCTGATTGGCTGGTCTAGTGTTACACACCTCCTGATTGGCTGGCTTAGTGTTACACGCCTCCTGATTGGCTGCCTGACTGTTAAACGCCTCCTGATTGGCTGCCTGACTGTTAAACGCCTCCTGATTGGCTAGCAGATTTTTACAAGCTTCCTGATTGGCTGGCTGAGTGTTAATCGCCTCCTTATTGGTTGACTGAGTGTTACACGCCTCTTGATTGGTAGCTGAGTGTTACACGCCTCCTGATTGGCTGTCTGAGTGTTACACGTCTCCTGATTGGCTGTTTGAGTGTTACACGCCTCCTGATTGGCTGGCTGAGTGTTACACGCCTCCTGATTGGCTGGCTAAGTGTTACACGCCTCCTAATTGGATGCCTGAGTGTGACACGCCTCCTTATTTGCTGCCTGAGTGTTACACGCCTCGTGATTGGCTACCTGAGTGTTACACCCCTCCTAATTGGATGCCTGATTGTAACACGCCTGCTGATTGGCTACCTGAGTGTTACACCCCTCCTAATTGGATGCCTGATTGTAACACGCCTGCTGATTGGCTACCTGAGTCTTACACCCCTCCTAATTGGATGCCTGAGTGTGACACGCCTGCTGATTGGATGGCTGAGTGTTACACGCCCCCTGATTGGCTGTCTGAGTGTTACACGCCTCCTGATTGGCTACCTGACTGTTACACCCCTCCTAATTGGATGCCTGAGTGTTACACGCCTCCTGATTGGTAGCTGAGTGTTACACGCCTCCTGATTGGCTGGCTGAGTGTTACACACATTCTGATCCGCTGTCTGAGTGTCAAAGGGTTCCTGATTGGCTATCTGAGTGTTACACCGCTCCTAATTGGCTGCCTGAGTGTGACACGCCTCCTTATCGGCTGCCTGAGTGTTACACGCCTCCTGATTGGCTGGCTGACTGTTACACGCCCCCTGATTGGCTGACTGTTACACGCCCCCTGATTGGCTGTCTGAGTGTTACACGCCTCCTGATATGGCTGGCTGAGTGTGACACGCCTCCTTATTTGCTGCCTGAGTGTGCCACGCCTCCTGATTGGCTGGCTGAGTGTTACACACCTTCTGATTGGCTACCTGCGTGTTACACCAGTCCTAGTTGGCTGCCTGAGTGTGACACGCCTCCTTATTGGCTGCCTGAGTGTGCCACGCCTCCTGATTGGCTGGCTGAGTGTTACACACCTATGGATTGGCTAGCTGAGTGTTACACGCCTCCTGATTGGCTAGCTGAGGGTTAAACGTCTCCTGATTGGCTGGCTGAATGTGACACGCCTCCTTATTGGCTGGCTGAGTGTTACATGCCTCCTGATTGGCTGGCTGAGTGTTACACGCCTCCTGATTGGCTGGCTGAGTGTGTCACGCCACCCTTTTGGCTGTCTGAGTGTTACAAGCCTCCTGATTGGCTGGCTGAGTGTTACAAGCCCCCTGATTGGCTGTCTGAGTTTTATACGCCTCCTGATTGGCTGGCTGAGTGTTACACGCCTCCTGATTGGCTGGCTGAGTGTCAAAGGATACCTGAGTGTTACACCCCTGCTAATTAGCTGCCTGAGTGTGACACGCCTCCTTATTGGCTGTCTGAGTGTTACGCCAGTCCTAATTGGCTGCCTGAGTGTGACACGCCTCCTTATTGGCTGCCTGAGTGTTACACGCCTCCTGATTGGCTGGCTGAGTGTGACACGCCTCCTTATTGGCTGGCAGAGTGTTACAGGCCTCCTGATTGGCTGGCTGAGTGTTACACGCCTCCTGATTTGCTGGCTGAGTGTTACAAACCCCCTGATTGGCTGTCTGAGTGTTAAACGCCCCGTGATTTGCTTTCCGTGTGTTACACGCCTCCTGATTGGCTAGCTGAGGGTTACACGCCTCAAGATTGGCTTGCTGAGTGTTACACGCCTCCTGATTGGTAGCTGAGTGTTACACGCCTCCTGATTGGCTTCCTGAGTGTGACACGCCTCCTGGTTGGCTGGCTGAGTGTCACATGCCTCCTGATTGGCTGTCTGAGTGTTACATGCCTCCCAATTGGATCGCTGAGTGTTTCACGCATCCTGATTGGCTGCCTGAGTGTGACACGGCTCCTTATTGGCTGCCTGAGTGTCACACGCCTCCTGATTGGCTACCGGACTGTTACACCCCTCCTAATTGGATGCCTGAGTGTTACACGCCTCCTGATTGGCTGCCTGAGTGTTACACGCCTGCTGATTGGCTGCCTGAGTGTTACACGCCTGCTGATTGGCTGGCTGAGTGTGACACGACTCATTATTGGCTGTCTGAGTTTTACATGCGTCCTGATTGGCTAGCAGATTTTTACACGCTTCCTGATTGGCTGGCTGAGTGTTACGCGCACCCTGATTGGCTGGCTGAGTGTTACACGCCCCCTGATTTGCTGTCTGAGTGTTACACGCCTCCTGATTGGTTGGCTGAGTGTTACACGCCTCCTGATTGGCTGGCTGACTGTTACACGCACCCTGATTGGCTGTTTGAGTGTTACACGCCTCCTGATTAGTAGCTGAGTGTTACACGCCTCCTGATTGGCTGGCTGAGTGTTACGCGCACCCTGATTGGCTGGCTGAGTGTTACACACCTCCTGATTGGCTGGCTTAGTGTTACACGCCTCCTGATTGGCTGCCTGAGTGTTACACGCCTCCTACTTGGCTGCTTGAGTGTGTCACGCCACCCTTTTGGCTGTCTGAGTGTTACACGCCTCCTGATTGGCTGGCTGAGTGTTAGAAGCCCCCTGATTGGCTGTCTGAGTGTGACACGCCCCCTGATTGGCTGTCTAAGTGTTACACGCCTCCTGATTGGCTGGCTGAGTTTTACATGCCTCCTGATTGGTTGGCTGAGTGTTAAACGTCTCCTGATTGGCTGCCTGAGTGTTACACGCCTCCTGATTGGCTGGCTGAGTGTGACACGCTGATTGGCTGTCTGAGTGTGACACGCCCCTGATTGGCTGTCTAAGTGTTACACGCCTCCTGATTGGCTGGCTGAGTGTTACATGCCTCCTGATTGGTTGGCTGAGTGTTAAACGTCTCCTGATTGGCTGGCTGAATGTCAAAGGCCACTTGATTGGCTGCCTGAGTGTTACACGCCTCCTGATTGGCTGTCTGAGTGTGACACGCCTCCTGATTAGTAGCTGAGTGTTACACGCCTCCTGATTGGCTGGCTGAGTGTTACAGGCCTCATGATTGGCTGGCTGAGTGTGACACGCCTCCTGATTAGTAGCTGAGTGTTACACGCCTCCTGATTGGCTGGCTGAGTGTGACACGCCTCCTTATTGGCTGCCTGAGTGTTACACGCCTCCTGATTGGCTGGCTGACTGTTACACGCCCCCTGATTGGCTGTTTGAGTGTTACACGCCTCCTGATTGGCTGTCTGAGTGTTAGACGCCCCCTGAATGGCTGTCTAAGTGTTACACGCCTCCTGATTTGCTGGCTGAGTGTTACACGCCTCCTGATTGGCTACCTGAGTGTTACACGACTCCTTATTGGCTGTCTGAGTTTTACATGCGTCCTGATTGGCTAGCAGATTTTTACACGCTTCCTGATTGGCTGGCTGAGTGTTACGCGCACCCTGATTGGCTGGCTGAGTGTTACACGCCCCCTGATTTGCTGTCTGAGTGTTACACGCCTCTTGATTTGCTAGCTGAGTGTTACACGCCTCCTGATTGGCTGGCTGAGTGTTACACGCCTCCTGATTGGCTGGCTGCCTGTTACACGCCCCCTGATTGGCTGTTTGAGTGTTACACACCTCCTGATTGGCTAGCTGAGTGTCAAAGGCTTCCTGATTGGCTACCTGAGTGTTACACGCCTCCAGATTGGCTACAAGAGTGTTACACGCCTCCTACTTGGCTGCTTAAGTGTGTAACGCCACCCTTTTGGCTGTCTGAGTGTTACACGCCTCCTGATTGGCTGGCTGAGTGTTACAAGCCCCCTGATTGGCTGTCTGAGTTTTATACGCCTCCTGATTGGCTAGCTGAGTGTTACATGACTCCTGATTGGCTGGCTGAGTGTTACACGCCTCCTGAGTGGTAGCTGAATGTTACACGCCTCCTGATTTGCTGGCCTAGTGTGACATGCCTCCTTATTGGCTGGCTGAATGTTAAACGCCTCCAGATTGGCTACAAGAGTGTTACACGCCTCCTACTTGGCTGCTTAAGTGTGTCACGCCAACCTTTTGGCTGTCTGAGTGTTACACGCCTCCTGATTGGCTGGCTGAGTGTTACATGCCCCCTGATTGGCTGTCTGAGTTTTATACGCCTCCTGATTGGCTGGCTGAGTGTGACACGCTGATTTGCTTTCCGTGTGTTACACGCCTCCTGATTGGCTAGCTGAGTGTTACACGCCTCCTGATTGGCTTGCTGAGTGTTACACGCCTCCTGATTGGTAGCTGAGTGTTACACGCCTCCTGATTGGCTTCCTGAGTGTGACACGCCTCCTGGTTGGCTGGCTGAGTGTTACATGCCTCCTGATTGGCTCTCTGAGTGTTACATGCCTCCTGATTGGCTGGCTGAGTGTGACACGCCTCCTGATTAGTAGCTGAGTGTTACACGCCCCCTGATTGGCTGTTTGAGTGTTACACACCTCCTGATTGGCTAGCTGAGTGTCAAAGGCTTCCTGATTGGCTACCTGTGTGTTACACGCCTCCTGATTGGTTGGCTGAGTGTAACATGCTTCCTGATTGGCTGTCTGAGTGTTACACGCCTCCTGATTGGATGGCTGAGTGTCAAACGCCCCCTGATTGGCTGTCTGAGTGTTACACGCCCCCTGATTGGCTGTCTAAGTGTTACACGCCTCCTAATTGGCTGGCTGAATGTGACACGCCTCCTTATTGGCTGGCTGAGTGTTACATGCCTCCTGATTGGCTTCCTGAGTGTTACATGCCTCCTGATTGGTTGGCTGAGTGTTAAACGTCTCCTGATTGGCTGGCTGAATGTCACAGGCCTCCTGATTGGCTGCCTGAGTGTTACACGCCTCCTGATTGGCTGGCTGAATGTGACACGCCTCCTTATTGGCTGGCTGAGTGTTACATGCCTCCTGATTGGCTTCCTGAGTGTTACATGCCTCCTGATTGGTTGGCTGAGTGTTAAACGTCTCCTGATTGGCTGGCTGAATGTCACAGGCCTCCTGATTGGCTGCCTGAGTGTTACACACCTCCTGATTGGCTAGGTGAGTGTTACACGCCTCCTGATTGGCTTCCTGAGTGTTACAAGCCTCCTGATTGGCTGGCTGAGTGTAACATGCTTCCTGATTGGCTGTCTGAGTGTTACACGCCTCCTGATTGGATGGCTGAGTGTCACACGCCCCTGATTGGCTGTCTAAGTGTTACACGCCTCCTGATTGGCTGGCTGAGTTTTACATGCCTCCTGATTGGTTGGCTGAGTGTTAAACGTCTCCTGATTGGTTGCCTGAGTGTTACACGCCTCCTGATTGGCTGGCTGAGTGTGACACGCTGATTGGCTGTCTGAGTGTGACACGCCCCCTGATTGGCTGTCTAAGTGTTACACGCCTCCTGATTGGCTGGCTGAGTGTTACATGCCTCCTGATTGGTTGGCTGAGTGTTAAACGTCTCCTGATTGGCTGGCTGAATGTCAAAGGCCTCCTGATTGGCTGCCTGAGTGTTACACGCCTCCTGATTGGCTGTCTGAGTGTGACACGCCTCCTGATTAGTAGCTGAGTGTTACACGCCTCCTGATTGGCTGGCTGAGTGTTACAGGCCTCATGATTGGCTGGCTGAGTGTGACACGCCTCCTGATTAGTAGCTGAGTGTTACACGCCTCCTGATTGGCTGGCTGAGTGTGACACGCCTCCTTATTGGCTGCCTGAGTGTTACACGCCTCCTGATTGGCTGGCTGACTGTTACACGCCCCCTGATTGGCTGTTTGAGTGTTACACGCCTCCTGATTGGCTGTCTGAGTGTTAGACGCCCCCTGAATGGCTGTCTAAGTGTTACACGCCTCCTGATTTGCTGGCTGAGTGTTACACGCCTCCTGATTGGCTACCTGAGTGTTACACGACTCCTTATTGGCTGTCTGAGTTTTACATGCGTCCTGATTGGCTAGCAGATTTTTACACGCTTCCTGATTGGCTGGCTGAGTGTTACGCGCACCCTGATTGGCTGGCTGAGTGTTACACGCCCCTGATTTGCTGTCTGAGTGTACACGCCTGATTGCTAGCTGGTGTTACACGCCTCTGATTGGGGCTGGTGTTCGCCTCCTGATTGGCGGCTGAGTGTTACACGCCCCTGATTTGCTGTCTGAGTGTTACACGCCTCTTGATTTGCTAGCTGAGTGTTACACGCCTCCTGATTGGCTGGCTGAGTGTTACACGCCTCCTGATTGGCTGGCTGCCTGTTACACGCCCCCTGATTGGCTGTTTGAGTGTTACACACCTCCTGATTGGCTAGCTGAGTGTCAAAGGCTTCCTGATTGGCTACCTGAGTGTTACACGCCTCCAGATTTGGCTAGAGTGTTACACGCCTCCTCTTGAGTGTTACATGCCTCCTGATTGGCTGCTTAAGTGTGTAACGCCACCCTTTTGGCTGGCTGAGTGTGACACGCCTCCTGATTAGTAGCTGAGTGTTACACGCCCCCTGATTGGCTGTTTGAGTGTTACACACCTCCTGATTTGCTAGCTGAGTGTCAAAGGCTTCCTGATTGGCTACCTGTGTGTTACACGCCTCCTGATTGGTTGGCTGAGTGTAACATGCTTCCTGATTGGCTGTCTGAGTGTTACACGCCTCCTGATTGGATGGCTGAGTGTCACACGCCCCCTGATTGGCTGTCTGAGTGTTACACGCCCCCTGATTGGCTGTCTAAGTGTTACACGCCTCCTAATTGGCTGGCTGAATGTGACACGCCTCCTTATTGGCTGGCTGAGTGTTACATGCCTCCTGATTGGCTTCCTGAGTGTTACATGCCTCCTGATTGGTTGGCTGAGTGTTAAACGTCTCCTGATTGGCTGGCTGAATGTCACAGGCCTCCTGATTGGCTGCCTGAGTGTTACACGCCTCCTGATTGGCTGGCTGAATGTGACACGCCTCCTTATTGGCTGGCTGAGTGTTACATGCCTCCTGATTGGCTTCCTGAGTGTTACATGCCTCCTGATTGGTTGGCTGAGTGTTAAACGTCTCCTGATTGGCTGGCTGAATGTCACAGGCCTCCTGATTGGCTGCCTGAGTGTTACACACCTCCTGATTGGCTAGGTGAGTGTTACACGCCTCCTGATTGGCTTCCTGAGTGTTACAAGCCTCCTGATTGGCTGGCTGAGTGTAACATGCTTCCTGATTGGCTGTCTGAGTGTTACACGCCTCCTGATTGGATGGCTGAGTGTCACACGCCCCTGATTGGCTGTCTGAGTGTTACATGCCCCCTGATTGGCTGTCTGAGTTTTATACGCCTCCTGATTGGCTACCTGAGTGTTACACGCCTCCTGATTGGTTGGCTGAGTGTTACACGCCTCCTAATTGGCTGCCTGAGTGTTACACGCCTCCTGATTGGCTGGCTGAGTGTAACATACTTCCTGATTGGCTGTCTGAGTGTTACATGCCTCCTGATTGGATGGCTGAGTGTTACACGCCCCCTGATTGGCTGTCTAAGTGTTACACGCCTCCTGATTGGCTTCCTGAGTGTTACACGCCTGCTGATTGGCTGCCTGACTGTTACACGCCTGCTGATTGGCTGGCTGAGTGTGACACGACTCCTTATTGGCTGTCTAAGTTTTACATGCGTCCTGATTGGCTAGCAGATTTTTACACGCTTCCTGATTGGCTGGCTGAGTGTTACGCGCACCCTGATTGGCTGGCTGAGTGTTACACGCCCCCTGATTTGCTGTCTGAGTGTTACACGCCTCTTGATTTGCTGTCTGAGTGTTACACGCCTCCTGATTGGCTGGCTGAGTGTTACACGCCTCCTGATTGGCTGGCTGACTGTTACACGCCCCCTGATTGGCTGTTTGAGTGTTACACACCTCCTGATTGGCTGGCTGAATGTGACACGCCTCCTTATTGGCTGGCTGAGTGTTACATGCCTCCTGATTGGCTTCCTGAGTGTTACATGCCACCTGATTGGCTGGCTGAGTGTTACACGCCTCCTGATTGGCTTCCTGAGTGTTAGACACCTCCTGATTGGCTAGCTGAGTGTCAAAGGCTTCCTGATTGGCTACCTGAGTGTTACACGCCTCCTGATTGGTTGGCTTAGTGTTACACGCCTCCTGATTGGCTGCCTGAGTGTTACACGCCTCCTGATTGGCTGGCTGAGTGTTACACGCCCCCTGATTGGCTGTTTGAGTGTTACACGCCTCCTGATTGGCTGTCTGAGTGTTACACGCCCCCTGATTGGCTGTCTAAGTGTTACACGCCTGCTGATTGGCTGGCTGAGTGTGACACGCTCCTGATTGGCTGTCTGAGTGTTAAACGCCTGCTGATTGGCTAGCTGAGTGTGACATGCCTCCTGATTGGCTTGCTGAGTGTGACACGCCTCCTGATTGGCTACCTGAGTGTTACACGCCCCCTGATTGGTTGGCTGAGTGTTACAGACCTCCTGATTGGCTAGCTGAGTGTCAAAGGCTTCCTGATTGGCTACCTGAGTGTTACACGCCTCCTGATTGGTTGGCTGAGTGTTACACGCCTCCTAATTGGCTGCCTGAGTGTTACACGCCTCCTGATTGGCTGCCTGAGTGTTACACGCCTCCTGATTTGCTGGCTGAGTGTTACACACCTCCTGATTGGCTGGCTGAGTGTTACACGCCTCCTGATTGGCTTCATGAGTGTTACAAGCCTCCTGATTGGCTGGCTGAGTGTAACATGCTTCCTGATTGGCTGTCTGAGTGTTACACGCCTCCTGATTGGATGGCCTAAGTGTTACACGCCTCCTGATTGGCTGTCTGAGTGTTACACGCCCCCTGATTGGCTGCTCGAGTGTTACACGCCACCTGATTGGCTGGCTGAGTGTTACACGCCTCCTGATTGGCTGGCTGAATGTTACATGACTCCTGATTGGCTGGCTGAGTGTTACAGGCCCCCTGATTGGCTGTTTGAGTGTTACACGCCTCCTGATTGGCTGTCTGAGTGTTACACGCCCCTGATTGGCTGTCTAAGTGTTACACGCCTCCTGATTTTGGCTGAGTGTGACACCCCTCCTGATTGGCTTGCTGAGTGTTACACGCCTCCTGATTGGCTGGCTGAGTGTTACACGCCTCCTGATTTGCTGGCTGAGTGTTACACGCCTCCTGATTGGCTTGCTGAGTGTCAAAGGCTTCCTGATTGGCTGCCTGAGTGTTACACGCCTCCTGATTGGTTTGCTGAGTGTTACACGCCTCCTAATTGGCTGCCTGAGTGTTACACGCCTCCTGATTGGCTGGCTGAGTGTAACATGCTCCCTGATTGGCTGTATGAGTGTTACACGCCTCCTGATTGGCTGGCTGAGTGTTACACGCCCCCTGATTGGCTGCCTAAGTGTTACACGCCTCCTGATTGGCTTGCCTGAGTGTTACACGCCTCCTGATTGGCTGCCTGAGTGTTACACGCCTGCTGATTGGCTGGCTGAGTGTGACACGCTCCTTGATTGGCTGTCTGAGTTTTACATGCCCCTGATTGGCTGCCTGAGTGTAAAACGCCTCGTTATTGGCTGACTGACGGTTACACACCTCCTGATTAGCTGGTTGAGTGTTACAGGCTTCCTGATTGGCTACCTGAGTGTTACACGCCTCCTGATTGGTTGGCTGAGTGTTACACGCCTCCTGATTGGCTGCCTGAGTGTTACATGCCTCCTGATTGGCTGGCTGAGTGTTACATGCCTCCTGATTGGCTGGCTGAGTGTTACACGCCTCCTGATTGGCTGGCTGAGTGTTACATGCCCTCCTGATTGGCTGCCTGAGTGTTACACGCCTCCTGATTGGCTTCCTGAGTGTTACACGCCTCCTGATTGGCTGCCTGAGTGTTACACGCCTCCTGATTGGCTGGCTGAGTGTTACACACCTCCTGATTGGCTAGGTGAGTGTTACACGCCTCCTGATTGGCTTCCTGAGTGTTACAAGCCTCCTGATTGGCTGGCTGAGTGTAACATGCTTCCTGATTGGCTGTCTGAGTGTTACACGCCTCTTGATTGGATGGCTGAGTGTTACACGCCCCCTGATTGGCTGTCTAAGTGTTACACGCCTCCTGATTGGCTGGCTGAGTGTTACACGCCTCCTGATTGGCTGGCTGAGTGTTACACGCCTCGTGATTGGCTGGTCTGAGTGTTACACACCTCCTGATTGGCTGGCTGAGTGTTACACGCCTCCTGATTGGCTGTCTGAGTGTTACACGCCCCCTGATTGGCTGTCTAAGTGTTACACGCCTCCTGATTGGCTGGCTGAGTGTTACACGCCTCCTGATTGGCTTGCTGAGTGTTACACGCCTCCTGATTGGCTGGCTGAATTGTCTAGTGTTACACGCCTCCTGATTGGCTGGCTGAGTGTTACACGCCTCCTGATTGGCTGGCTGAGTGTGACACGCCTCCTGATTTGCTGGCTGAGTGTTACACGCCTCCTGATTGGCTGGCTGAGTGTTACATGCCTCCTGATTGGCTGGCTGAGTGTGACACGCCTCCTGATTAGTAGCTGAGTGTCACAGGCCTCCTGATTGGCTGGCTGAGTGTCACACGCCTCCTGATTGGCTGACTGAGTGTTACACGCCTCCTGATTGGCTGCCTGAGTGTGACACACCCTCTTATTGGCTGTTTGAGTGTTACACGCCTCCTGATTGGCTGTCTGAGTGTTAGACGCCCCCTGAATGGCTGTCTAAGTGTTACACGCCTCCTGATTTGCTGGCTGAGTGTTACACGCCTCCTGATTGGCTGGCTGAGTGTTACACGCCTCCTTATTGGCTGTCTGAGTGTTACATGCCTCCTGATTGGCTAGCAGATTTTTACACGCTTCCTGATTGGCTGGCTGAGTGTTACACGCACCCTGATTGGCTGGCTGAGTGTTACACGCCCCCTGATTTGCTGTCTGAGTGTTACACGCCTCTTGATTTGCTAGCTGAGTGTTACACGCCTCCTGATTGGCTGGCTGAGTGTTACACGCCTCCTGATTGGCTGGCTGACTGTTACACGCCCCCTGATTGGCTGCTTGAGTGTTACACACCTCCTGATTGGCTAGCTGAGTGTCAAAGGCTTCCTGATTGGCTACCTGAGTGTTACACGCCTCCAGATTGGCTGCCAAGAGTGTTACACGCCTCCTAATTGGCTGCTCTAAGTGTGTACACGCCACCCTGATTGGCTGTCTGAGTGTTACACGCCTCCTGATTGGCTGGCTGAGTGTTACACGCCCCCTGATTGGCTGTCTGAGTTTTATACGCCTCCTGATTGGCTAGCTGAGTGTTACACGACTCCTGATTGGCTGGCTGAGTGTTACACGCCTCCTGATTGGTAGCTGAATGTTACACGCCTCCTGATTTGCTGGCCTAGTGTGACACGCCTCCTGATTGGCTGGCTGAATGTTAAACGCCTCCAGATTGGCTACAAGAGTGTTACACGCCTCCTAATTGGCTGCTTGAGTGTGTCACGCCAACCTTGATTGGCTGTCTGAGTGTTACACGCCTCCTGATTGGCTGGCTGAGTGTTACATGCCCCCTGATTGGCTGTCTGAGTTTTATACGCCTCCTGATTGGCTGGCTGAGTGTGACACGCTGATTTGCTTTCCGTGTGTTACACGCCTCCTGATTGGCTAGCTGAGTGTTACACGCCTCCTGATTGGCTTGCTGAGTGTTACACGCCTCCTGATTGGTAGCTGAGTGTTACACGCCTCCTGATTGGCTTCCTGAGTGTGACACGCCTCCTGGTTGGCTGGCTGAGTGTTACATGCCTCCTGATTGGCTCTCTGAGTGTTACATGCCTCCTGATTGGCTGGCTGAGTGTTGACACGCCTCCTGATTAGCTAGCTGAGTGTTACACGGCCCCCTGATTGGCTGTTTGAGTGTTACACACCTCCTGATTGGCTAGCTGAGTGTCAAAGGCTTCCTGATTGGCTACCTGTGTGTTACACGCCTCCTGATTGGTTGGCTGAGTGTAACATGCTTCCTGATTGGCTGTCTGAGTGTTACACGCCTCCTGATTGGATGGCTGAGTGTCACACGCCCCCTGATTGGCTGTCTGAGTGTTACACGCCCCCTGATTGGCTGTCTAAGTGTTACACGCCTCCTAATTGGCTGGCTGAATGTGACACGCCTCCTTATTGGCTGGCTGAGTGTTACATGCCTCCTGATTGGCTTCCTGAGTGTTACATGCCTCCTGATTGGTTGGCTGAGTGTTAAACGTCTCCTGATTGGCTGGCTGAATGTCACAGGCCTCCTGATTGGCTGCCTGAGTGTTACACGCCTCCTGATTGGCTGGCTGAGTGTGACACGCCTCCTGATTGGCTGGCTGAGTGTTACATGCCTCCTGATTGGCTTCCTGAGTGTTACATGCCTCCTGATTGGTTGGCTGAGTGTTAAACGCCTCCTGATTGGCTGGCTGAATGTCACAGGCCTCCTGATTGGCTGCCTGAGTGTTACACACCTCCTGATTGGCTAGGTGAGTGTTACACGCCTCCTGATTGGCTTCCTGAGTGTTACAAGCCTCCTGATTGGCTGGCTGAGTGTAACATGCTTCCTGATTGGCTGTCTGAGTGTTACACGCCTCCTGATTGGATGGCTGAGTGTCACACGCCCCCTGATTGGCTGTCTAAGTGTTACACGCCTCCTGATTGGCTGGCTGAGTTTTACATGCCTCCTGATTGGTTGGCTGAGTGTTAAACGTCTCCTGATTGGTTGCCTGAGTGTTACACGCCTCCTGATTGGCTGGCTGAGTGTGACACGCTGATTGGCTGTCTGAGTGTGACACGCCCCCTGATTGGCTGTCTAAGTGTTACACGCCTCCTGATTGGCTGGCTGAGTGTTACATGCCTCCTGATTGGTTGGCTGAGTGTTAAACGTCTCCTGATTGGCTGGCTGAATGTCAAAGGCCTCCTGATTGGCTGCCTGAGTGTTACACGCCTCCTGATTGGCTGTCTGAGTGTGACACGCCTCCTGATTAGTAGCTGAGTGTTACACGCCTCCTGATTGGCTGGCTGAGTGTTACAGGCCTCCTGATTGGCTGGCTGAGTGTGACACGCCTCCTGATTAGTAGCTGAGTGTTACACGCCTCCTGATTGGCTGGCTGAGTGTGACACGCCTCCTTATTGGCTGCCTGAGTGTTACACGCCTCCTGATTGGCTGGCTGACTGTTACACGCCCCCTGATTGGCTGTTTGAGTGTTACACGCCTCCTGATTGGCTGTCTGAGTGTTAGACGCCCCCTGAATGGCTGTCTAAGTGTTACACGCCTCCTGATTTGCTGGCTGAGTGTTACACGCCTCCTGATTGGCTACCTGAGTGTTACACGACTCCTTATTGGCTGTCTGAGTTTTACATGCGTCCTGATTGGCTAGCAGATTTTTACACGCCTTCCTGATTGGCTGGCTGAGTGTTACGCGCACCCTGATTGGCTGGCTGAGTGTTACACGCCCCCTGATTTGCTGTCTGAGTGTTACACGCCTCTTGATTTGCTAGCTGAGTGTTACACGCCTCCTGATTGGCTGGCTGAGTGTTACACGCCTCCTGATTGGCTGGCTGCCTGTTACACGCCCCCTGATTGGCTGTTTGAGTGTTACACACCTCCTGATTGGCTAGCTGAGTGTCAAAGGCTTCCTGATTGGCTACCTGAGTGTTACACGCCTCCAGATTGGCTACAAGAGTGTTACACGCCTCCTGACTTGGCTGCTGAGTGTAACGCCACCCTTTTGGCTGTCTGAGTGTTACACGCCTCCTGATTGGCTGGCTGAGTGTTACAAGCCCCCTGATTGGCTGTCTGAGTTTTATACGCCTCCTGATTGGCTAGCTGAGTGTTACACGACTCCTGATTGGCTGGCTGAGTGTTACACGCCTCCTGATTGGCTAGCTGAATGTTACACGCCTCCTGATTTGCTGGCCTAGTGTGACATGCCTCCTGATTGGCTGGCTGAATGTTAAACGCCTCCAGATTGGCTACAAGAGTGTTACACGCCTCCTACTTGGCTGCTTAAGTGTGTCACGCCAACCTGTTTGGCTGTCTGAGTGTTACACGCCTCCTGATTGGCTGGATGAGTGTTATATGCATCCTGATTGGCTGACTGAGTTTTACACGCCTCCTGATTGCCTGGCTGAGTGTGACACGCTGATTTGCTTTCCTGTGTGTTACACGCCTCCTGATTGGCTGGCTGAGTGTTACACGTCTCCTGATTGGCTTGCTGAGTGTTACATGCCTCTTGATTGGCTGGCTGAGTGTTACACGCCTCCTGATTGGCTTCCTGAGTGTGACACGCCTCCTGATTGGCTGGCTGAGTGTTACATGCCTCCTGATTGGCTCTCTGAGTGTTACATGCCTCCTGATTGGCTGGCTGAGTGTGACACGCCTCCTGATTAGCTAGCTGAGTGTTACACGCCCCCTGATTGGCTGTTTGAGTGTTACACGCCTCCTGATTGGCTAGCTGAGTGTCAAAGGCTTCCTGATTGGCTACCTGTGTGTTACACGCCTCCTGATTGGTTGGCTGAGTGTAACATGCTTCCTGATTGGCTGTCTGAGTGTTACACGCCTCCTGATTGGATGGCTGAGTGTCACACGCCCCCTGATTGGCTGTCTGAGTGTTACACGCCCCCTGATTGGCTGTCTAAGTGTTACACGCCTCCTAATTGGCTGGCTGAATGTGACACGCCTCCTTATTGGCTGGCTGAGTGTTACATGCCTCCTGATTGGCTTCCTGAGTGTTACATGCCTCCTGATTGGTTGGCTGAGTGTTAAACGTCTCCTGATTGGCTGGCTGAATGTCACAGGCCTCCTGATTGGCTGCCTGAGTGTTACACGCCTCCTGATTGGCTGGCTGAATGTGACACGCCTCCTGATTGGCTGGCTGAGTGTTACATGCCTCCTGATTGGCTTCCTGAGTGTTACATGCCTCCTGATTGGTTGGCTGAGTGTTAAACGTCTCCTGATTGGCTGGCTGAATGTCACAGGCCTCCTGATTGGCTGCCTGAGTGTTACACACCTCCTGATTGGCTAGGTGAGTGTTACACGCCTCCTGATTGGCTTCCTGAGTGTTACAAGCCTCCTGATTGGCTGGCTGAGTGTAACATGCTTCCTGATTGGCTGTCTGAGTGTTACACGCCTCCTGATTGGATGGCTGAGTGTCACACGCCCCCCTGATTGGCTGTCTGAGTGTTACATGCCCCCTGATTGGCTGTCTGAGTTTTATACGCCTCCTGATTGGCTACCTGAGTGTTACACGCCTCCTGATTGGTTGGCTGAGTGTTACACGCCTCCTAATTGGCTGCCTGAGTGTTACACGCCTCCTGATTGGCTGCCTGAGTGTAACATGCTTCCTGATTGGCTGGCTGAGTGTTACATGCCTCCTGATTGGATGGCTGAGTGTTACACGCCCCCTGATTGGCTGGCTGAGTGTTACACGCCTCCTGATTGGCTTCCTGAGTGTTACACGCCTGCTGATTGGCTGCCTGACTGTTACACGCCTGCTGATTGGCTGGCTGAGTGTTACACGCCTCCTGATTGGCTGTCTGAGTTTTACACGCGTCCTGATTGGCTGCCTGAGTGTTACACGCCTCTTGATTTGCTGGCTGAGTGTTACACACCTCCTGATTGGCTAGCTGAGTGTCAAAGGCTTCCTGATTGGCTACCTGAGTGTTACACGCCTCCTGATTGGTTGGCTGAGTGTTACACGCCTCCTAATTGGCTGCCTGAGTGTTACACGCCTCCTGATTGGTTGGCTGAGTGTTACACGCCTCCTAATTGGCTGCCTGAGTGTTACACGCCTCCTGATTGGATGGCTGAGTGTTACACGCCCCCTGATTGGCTGTCTAAGTGTTACACACCTCCTGATTGGTTGGCTGAGTGTTACACGCCTGCTGATTGGCTGCCTGAGTGTTACACGCCTGCTGATTGGCTGGCTGAGTGTGACACGACTCCTTATTGGCTGTCTAAGTTTTACATGCGTCCTGATTGGCTAGCAGATTTTTACACGCTTCCTGATTGGCTGGCTGAGTGTTACGCGCACCCTGATTGGCTGGCTGAGTGTTACACGCCCCCTGATTTGCTGTCTGAGTGTTACACGCCTCTTGATTTGCTAGCTGAGTGTTACACGCCTCCTGATTGGCTGGCTGAGTGTTACACGCCTCCTGATTGGCTGGCTGACTGTTACACGCCCCCTGATTGGCTGTTTGAGTGTTACACACCTCCTGATTGGCTGGCTGAGTGTGACACGCCTCCTTATTGGCTGGCTGAGTGTTACATGCCTCCTGATTGGCTGCCTGAGTGTTACATGCAACCTGATTGGCTGGGCTGAGTGTTACACGCCTCCTGATTGGCTTCCTGAGTGTTAGACACCTCCTGATTGGCTAGCTGAGTGTCAAAGGCTTCCTGATTGGCTACCTGAGTGTTACACGCCTCCTGATTGGTTGGCTGAGTGTTACACGCCTCCTGATTGGCTGCCTGAGTGTTACACGCCTCCTGATTGGCTGGCTGACTGTTACACGCCCCCTGATTGGCTGTTTGAGTGTTACACGCCTCCTGATTGGCTGTCTGAGTGTTACACGCCCCCTGATTGGCTGTCTAAGTGTTACACGCCTGCTGATTGGCTGGCTGAGTGTGACACGACTCCTTATTGGCTGTCTGAGTGTTAAACGCCTGCTGATTGGCTGGCTGAGTGTGACATGCCTCCTTATTGGCTTGCTGAGTGTGACACGCCTCCTGATTGGCTGCCTGAGTGTTACACGCCTCCTGATTGGCAGGCTGAGTGTTACAGACCTCCTGATTGGCTAGCTGAGTGTCAAAGGCTTCCTAATTGGCTACCTGAGTGTTACACGCCTCCTGATTGGTTGGCTGATTGTTACACGCCTCCTAATTGGCTGCCTGAGTGTTACACGCCTCGTGATTGGCTGCCTGAGTGTTACACGCCTCCTGATTTGCTGGCTGAGTGTTACACACCTCCTGATTGGCTAGCTGAGTGTTACACGCCTCCTGATTGGCTGTCATGAGTGTTACAAGCCTCCTGATTGGCTGGCTGAGTGTAACATGCTTCCTGATTGGCTGTCTGAGTGTTACACGCCTCCTGATTGGATGGCTAAGTGTTACACGCCTCCTGATTGGCTGTCTGAGTGTTACACGCCCCCTGATTGGCTGGTCTAGTGTTACACACCACCTGATTGGCTGGCTTAGTGTTACACGCCTCCTGATTGGCTGCCTGAGTGTTACACGCCTCCTGATTGGCTGGCTGACTGTTACACGCCCCCTGATTGGCTGTTTGAGTGTTACACGCCTCCTGATTGGCTGTCTGAGTGTTACACGCCCCCTGATTGGCTGTCTAAGTGTTACACGCCTCCTGATTTGCTGGCTGAGTGTGACACGCCTCCTCATTGGCTTGCTGAGTGTGACACGCCTCCTGATTGGCTGCCTGAGTGTTACACGCCTTCTGATTTGCTGGCTGAGTGTTACACACCTCCTGATTGGCTAGCTGAGTGTCAAAGGCTTCCTGATTGGCTACCTAAGTGTTACACGCCTCCTGATTGGTTGGCTGAGTGTTACACGCCTCCTAATTGGCTGCCTGAGTGTTACACGCCTCCTGATTGGCTGGCTGAGTGTAACATGCTTCCTGATTGGCTGTCTGAGTGTTACACGCCTCCTGATTGGATGGCTGAGTGTTACACGCCCCCTGATTGGCTGTCTAAGTGTTACACGCCTCCTGATTGGCTTCCTGAGTGTTACACGCCTGCTGATTGGCTGCCTGAGTGTTACACGCCTGCTGATTGGCTGGCTGAGTGTGACACGACTCCTTATTGGCTGTCTGAGTTTTACATGCGTCCTGATTGGCTGCCTGAGTGTTACACGCCTTCTTATTTGCTGGCTGAGTGTTACACACCTCCTGATTGGCTAGCTGAGTGTCAAAGGCTTCCTGATTGGCTACCTGAGTGTTACACGCCTCCTGATTGGTTGGCTGAGTGTTACACGCCTCCTAATTGGCTGCCTGAGTGTTACATGCCTCCTGATTGGCTGGCTGAGTGTAACATGCTTCCTGATTGGCTGTCTGAGTGTTACACGCCTCCTGATTGGATGGCTGAGTGTTACACGCCCCCTGATTGGCTGTCTAAGTGTTACACGCCTCCTGATTGGCTTCCTGAGTGTTACACGCCTGCTGATTGGCTGCCTGAGTGTTACACGCCTGCTGATTGGCTGGCTGAGTGTTACACACCTCCTGATTGGCTAGGTGAGTGTTACACGCCTCCTGATTGGCTTCCTGAGTGTTACAAGCCTCCTGATTGGCTGGCTGAGTGTAACATGCTTCCTGATTGGCTGTCTGAGTGTTACACGCCTCTTGATTGGATGGCTGAGTGTTACACGCCCCCTGATTGGC